TTTTTCCGCTTGGGAAGCGCAAGTGTGCGCGAGTTTTTCTACGGCGCTTTTCTTTCGTCGGTGAGTTGGTTTTTCTTCTATTTTTAAGTTACTAAGGTGAATGGTGAGGAAACCTTCGTCTTAACTAAACATAAGCCCCAAACAAAATATAATGAAAGCAAAATAAAAGTAAAATAAAAATAAAGCTCAGATTTGGTTCCTTACAATACCATCAATGTTAGAAGTCTGAATGGAAAGGAAGTAGAGCTAGCTGAAGAACTAGAAAAGTATAATGTACAAATGACAGGTATCATTGAAACTAAGAAAATTAAAGTTGGAGAGAAAGCCTAAACAATAAATATAAGTTGATTTACTTGGGAATGATGTAAATGCTATGGCTACACTCTCTTTGCATTGAGCATCTGCTATGGAAGATAATCTGATAGAATGAGAAGTACTCTCTGGCAGAGTCATCTGGGCAAAATTTAAAATAGAAAACTGGATAATAAGATTTATCTTACAATGGACCTACTGAAGGCTCAAAGAAGGAAGATTGTGATCGAAGGGTCGGCACCTCTTTGGTGCCCTGTCAGGATGACACCACCGCATCTCGGCAGACACGGAAGCCGCGTTATTTAGGTCACGCAAGCGGTCGCGTAACGGAGCGATCAGAGTCGAGATAGAAGGAGAGACAACGCACTGGGAGTGATTTACTCAGACGCTTTTTAACATAACAACTGTTTAATGGTTAACGATAGGCTATACATTAGGGCTGCTGTTAGATACATCTCTCGATTTGATAGTATTAAGATATTAAGATATTACGTTTTTCCCCGATTTGAGAGAGAGAGAGTTTACAGGAGTTTCGCATGGTGATAAATACCTTTTGTTTTTGCTGTCTTGATGTAGATTCTCAAGCGGTCTTGGTGAAGGGAAGAAAGTTTGGAATGTCAGTCCGGTAGAGGAAGTATCCGTAAGAATGATAGAACAGTATCTGCAAGGGTGTTAGTCGATGGTTCCGATGATCTTTTTGTAGGATATATTCACAGATATCCGAATAGTGAGGCACTTAGGACAGGGGTGGCCAACATGAGGCCCGCGGGCCGCATGCGGCCCACCGGGAGTCGTGTTGCGGCCCGCGGAGCTAGGTCAAATGAACATAAATGTTAACTTTATTGTAATATCACCAAATGAACATTAGAAGAGTTAAGAAGGTTTGGAAGAGTTCTATGAAACGTATTTGGACAAGGATAAATATCTTGCGTTTTACAATCATGCTCTGTCAATGGTTACGCTATTTGGAAACACGTATGCGTGTGAACAACTTTTTAGTCGCATGAAGTATATCAAATCACAAGTGAGAACACGAATTACTGATGTTCATTTGGAAAACTGTTTGCGTGTAGCGACAACATCAGTCCAGATCAATTTTGATGCACTTACTTGTTAGTTCTGTAAAACAAAGTCAAATTTTTAAATTGTCTAATAAATATGTTTCTCGGTTATTAAATAAATGATTCTCGGTTATGTTTTATTTTCTTCAAAAAAATAAATATACCTATTTTTTGTGTTTTTTTACATTAAATCAGGCAAGTGTTTGACCACGATCTCACCTACTGGAAAGCAACGATGCGGATGAAGGTGTAGCACGCTTGCTTGTTTACTTTAATTAAAAAAAAATTAGGTGCGTGGCCCGGCAGGAAATATTATTTTTGAAATTTGGCCCGCCTGCTAAAAAGGTTGGCCACCCCTGACTTAGGACAAGGTACTAGTAGACTCTTTTCGAAAGACGGGCGACGACTGCTACTTTGTTGTCTGGTTTTCATGTTGGATTGTTGAAACGGAGATATTAGGTCGAAAGGTGCTGAGAAAGTGTCGTTATTACGCCTGAGAACTTAGCAGATGTTTAGCTCCCAGGTGTAAAAGTTGACAGTTATCGAATGAAAGTATAGCTACAATGTGAAATGATATAAACACATGAAAAGTCCGAATTCGGATCCTCACAAAGATGTAGAAGAATTTTATGACTTTCTGGGATTAGCAGTAGAGACAAATACTGATGAAAAAATAGAGATTGAGAGTAAATTGGGAAATGACAACTACATCTATGGCAGCATTTTAGGTAAGTTTGGTGAGAAAGAAAAACCTAACAACAATGGCAAAAGACTGCTTGAGTTTTGTGCTTGTCACTCACTAGTGCTTACTAATACAATATTCCAACATAAAGAGTGTCACAAATTCACATAGAGAGAACATACTAGAAATCTGAAAAGCATAATTGACTATATTATTTTAGAGAAGGATATTATCCATTTAGTTGAAGACACAAGAGTCTTTAGAGGTTTCGAAGTTGATAGTGATCATCATCTTGTACTGAGAAAATTAAAAACAGCTATCAATATTAGGAATAGGAGATGTAAAAAAAGGTGCTTCAGTGTATAAAAATAGAAAAATTATCAGATCTTCTAAATGCTATTAAATACAGAAATATGGTTAATAATACCACAGCTAATAACATCTCCATTACCAAAATGGATTCAGGGGAGGAATGGTAAAAATAGTATGTGCAGAAGATGTCTGCAAAGATAGGAAGGTTAGAACTCCATGGTGAACGAAAGAGGTTAGATAAGCAGTACAAAAGAAGAAGGTGTCTTATAAAAGATATCTGGCAAATAAGACCACAAGCATCCTATTAAATTATAAAGCTAAATGTAAGACATCTAAACCTGTAAAGAAGGCTAAACAAAGATGCTGAGAAAATTTTGGAACAAATAGAAAGCATGTATAAAGAGGGGGGACAAAATGTTCTGGCATTTAGTAAAGAATCTGTGAACCAATGGGAAAACTGTAGCTAGAGGAATAAAGAATGATAAAGGTATAAAGGTAAAATTATAACAGAAGATAAAGATATTCTAAAGGATTGGAGCAAATACTTTGAACAATTACTGAATGAAGGAGTGACAGATTTAGCCAAACGAGAAATTTTGAAATTATCGGATCCTATCTCAGTTATAAAGTAGATAAGGCCATCAAAAACATCAAATGTGGAAAGGCTGCCAGTGTAGATGATATCAGACTGAGATGCTAAAGTATGGGGGAATAACAGTAGTACAGTGGTTACATCACATTATTCAAAGATGTTGGTCTGAAGGGAAGGTTCCAGAGGATTGGGGAAAAGCTTTAATTGACCAATTCATAAAAAGAAGGTAAAACAGAATGTAGTAATTATGGAGGAAACTCACTGTTCAGTGTACTAGCTAAAATTTATGCCAGCATTTTAGAAAAAACAGTCAGACGAATAAGTGACCCAAGAGAAGAACAGACAGGCTTTAGACCAAATAGAGGATGCCAAGTTCAAATATTTACACTATGGCAATTGACAGAGAAAGCATGGGAATATAACAAGAAACTATACTTGGGATTCGTTGACTTGGAGAAGGCATTTGATAGTTCCTAGAGGATTACTTTTTGAAGTTCTTAAGAAATATGACATCAAGGATACTCTACTTGGGAATCCAAAGCTTGTATAGAAACTGCAAATCAGCTATAAGGATAGAAGGACAAATAGGTGACTGGTTCCAAGTAAAACTAAGGGTGAGCAAGGATGTACAGTACATTGTTTCCTTTATTATTCATAATTTTCATGGATAATTTAATAAAAGAATCAAAACTGTTGACAAACTTCAGTTTGGAAAATATAAAAATTGGTTTTTTAATCTATGCGGATGACATTGTCCTACTAAGCAATAAACCCGAGGCCCTCCAATAATCTTTAAATAATTTAGAGGAAAGTTGGAATTTCAGTATGTCAGTCTGTTATGAGAAAACAAAGGTTATGGCTATTAGTATAGAGAAAGAGACTTTAACAATTAAACTTTGTAACAAATGCTTAGAACATATCAATAAGTTCTCATACTTGGAAACAATCTTTAACAAAGATGGAAAGTTAGATTTGGAAATCAGTAATAGATTAAGCAAAGCAGGTCAGGCAGGGAGCCAATTGAGCAAATATATCTGGAACAAGAAAGAAATAAGTCACAAGACAAAACTAGCTGTGTACAACACAGTTTTTAAACTTATATTGACATATGATTCTGAGAGTTTGGTGAGAAATAAGAGAATTGACCAAAAATTAGAAGCAGCAGAAATGAGAATTTTTAGAAAAATTAGTGGTGTTAATAGATGGATACAGTGGCAAAATCATATTAAAAATGAAGACACGAGAAAAAAAACCTTAACAAATATTCAGTCAAGAGTAAGCTCAGCTAATCTGAGGTGGTTTGAACATTTGGAAAGAATGGGAGAAGACCAACTGGCCAAACAGGTTTTCAAAGCTAAAATAAAGAGAAAAAACCAAAGGGATGATGTAGATGAAGATAGATTGATACGAGGTAGCGTTAAGCAGACTTTAGAGGAAAGGAATTTAATTTCATTCTAGGCTAAAANATAATTATAATTTTAATTAAATAATTTAGAACTACTGGAAAAAAAGAATTGGTCCGGAATGGGACTCGAACCTGCAACTCCTGCTTACCGTGCAGATGCATTGCCAATTATGCTACCCGGACTTCCTAATTGGCAATGCATCTGCATGGTAAGCAGGAGTCATGGTTTCAAGTTCCACTCCAGGCCGATTCTTTTCTTCCAGTAGTTCTAAATTATTTAAGTAAAATTATAATTATTAAATTTATCAAGAGATGGCACCTAATGCTTAACTCTAGTGCCAAATTGTCTTATAAATTATTAATATTACAGCCGTTTCTAGCCCGATTAATATTCAGCATTGGTTGGTGTATAACTTATATAGTTGATAAGTTGAGGTACTGGTACTCCCTTTTTTTTCATTATAGTATTTGCATAGAGGTCTGCTTCAAAGTTTTGCAGGATGATTCATTAATAGTGAAAATATTGAGGAATACAAAAAAAAATTTTATTCAATATTTTTACTATGTAAATTACCATCAGTTATTTTTTTAATGGTTCATTAAGTTTATGATTATTTTGAGGGAGGTATTAGTTTCCTCTTTATTTTTTTATTGCTGAGCTCTTTTTGCTACTTTTTTTGTTTTTTGCACTTAAATTGTGTATTTTTGATTTTTAGGTAAACCTCCATAACTCGAAACTTTTTAATTCAAAGTTGAAATGTTTTTCCCAACCAATTTGAGTTAACCAGGTTTCACTGTATTTCTTTTGATATTAACTATCTGTATTAGATTTCTAGAGATATTGCATCTAAATTCATTAGAAAAAATCAATTGCCATGCTCTACTGTAGATATCATTTCTAATATCTACAGTAGAGCATGGCAATTCGGGACTGGGGTTGTTCGGATAACCAATTTTTTGGATAACTGATCATGTATGAAAAAATATATTAATCTATTCCATATTGAAATTTTTCTCCATTGCATGACATTTTGCGTTGAAGTTTCATCAATGTTAAGCCTAACGAAGATTTTTTAAAAATAAAAATCATGGCTATTGTATCGTTAAAAATTATTTCTTTATTTTGCACAAACAAAACAAATATATTCAAAAATATAAAAACAAAAAAAATTATATTTCAGAAGTTAATCTAGTATCAAAAATGTTCCAATTCAGCACAACAACATGTCCCGACACACAGTCCACAGAAAAACTCCACACAAAACAAGTAAAGCTTTTTCTTTGGTTTATCTGGAGATGTCAGCTGCTTGGGCTATATTCTTTGATGAGCTGAAGCAAAACACACCACTCACGATGGGGAAAAAAGCCTCATTCAAATACTGGCACATCTTTAAGTACCCTCTTGATGTGTGTCATGCTGAATCGGAACATTTTTGATATTAGATTTACTTTTGAATTATAATTTTTTTGTTTTTATATTTTTCAATATATTTATTTTGTTTGTGCAAAATAAAGAAATAACTTTTAACTATACAATATGGTCGTGCCAATGCTGCCAGCTAAAACACACACACCAACAAAAATAATATTGGAGTAGCCCAAGATATAGCCAAATATTGCAGCACCACAGCACTAGCGAAAATTTGAATTTGCTGATTGGAACGCTTTCGGTTAACCAATGTTTCGGTTGATCAGTATTTGTATAATCGATGTTCTACTGTATTTGTTTTTTTTTTTTTAATTATTTTTATATTTTTTTCCTCTTCATAAAATTGTCATAACATCAGAGATTGAGTTTTTGATATTGTTGAATTTTTTGAGTTTTTTTTATACTACTGCACTAGTTAAAAACTTTGTTTCATTTTACATTTTATATATATATATAAAAGAATGTATGTATGTACAGTAGAGCGTCGATTATCCGAATCAATTGGGGACTGGGGTTGATCGGAAAATTGATATTTCAGATAACCGATTATGCATGAAAAAATATATTAACCTATCTCACGTTGAAATTTTTCTCCGTTGCGTGTCGCTTTGTGTTGAATTTTCGTCAATGTTAAGCCTAACGAAGACTATTGTATCGTTAAAAATTATTTTTTTATTTTGTACAAACAAAATAAATATATTGAAAAATATAAAAACAATAAAAAATTATACTTCAGAAGTTAATTTAGTATCAAAAACGTAAAATATTTGAGTAGCCGAAGA